AAAAAAAAGAATTCTTAGACTTTTTAATATAGTCATATAAATATTTAGGCACTCAAATATTTCTGACTGCATGTAGAAGAAATACTCTCTATGAGAAACCCACTTTCCAGAAAATGCACTTTTAATAAGAAAATATTAACTGCTTATGTTTTTACAGAATATTTATGTTCTAGGTATTTAAACCTTCCTTCATTTAATCTTCACAGTAACTGTCAAATTAGACATACTAATCAAATTAGATATATAACCATACAGATTTTTAAAAGGCACAAAACATATTTACTGAAAATGTAGCAGGAAATAGAATATGAAATCAAATCCAAATCTCCTAATGATACTTGTGGTGGGTGCTATGATCTGCTCTTTTTTCCCTTCACCCCTCCCTGTCCACCTGGGTCTCCCAACAATAGAGAATTTATTATCCCAGCTGCTGGGAATGCTGCCAAAAGACAATCTGCAGTTGTCAGCCTCCTTCAGAAACTGACTCCTCACCTATAGAGGTCACATCTCCTTCCTGGAGAAGCCCACACCAATGACTGACTCGATGTGAGGGTTTAATGATCCTAGATGCAACTTGCAAGAGCACTGAAGTGTCAGCCCATGTTCAGAACTTCCCAGAAAGTCAACTGAGGTTTCTGCTGAGACGTCAGTGCAGCTTGACTTCTGCCTAAGCTGCTTCTTTCCCATCTCTTTTGTTCCACAGGTGTTGATCCCAAGAGCACTCCCTAATAAACCCCTGCATGCTGATCTCCTGAGACACTACTTTCCACAGCAGCATCCACCCAATGTGTAACTATTAACAAACAATATTTTTTGACAAAATCATAATGGGTACAAACAATCAATCCCATTTTAAGAGGCTGGCTGATGGAAAATGTAACCCTCGTTTGGGACATTAAAATAATCTAACTTGGTACATGATGATAGTTAATTTTCTTTATTCTTCAGAGAATAAAAACACTGCCAGCATATATAACGTGTGTATATATATATATGTATATATATATATATTTAATAATCTGTCTCCTCCAACTAAATGTAAAATCCATGACAGCAGGCACTCTGTTTTGCTGAATGCTGTATCACCAACACCTCAGTGCTGTATTAATATATGTTGAGTGAATGGGGGTGTCAAAAGTTGTACTCTAAAAAAAGCATGAGGAAATGCAGAAACAAAAAGCCTATCAGAAAAGAAGAATGCCATATAAAAGGCAGCCAGAACATAATGGTTAAGAGCACAAAAGCTAAACCCAGGATGCCTGGGTTTGAATCTTGACTCTAGCACTAACCAGCTGTATAACCTTAGGTGAGTTAATTAACTTCTCTGTGGCTCAATTTCCTCATCTATAAAATGTGGATAATAATAGCTCATAGATTGTTATAAGGTTTTAATGGATTGTTTGAATTAACATTTATAGCACTGAGAATATTACCTAGCATAAAGCACACTATA